TGAGTATGTCGACGTTGTAACTTTAGATTCGACTGATTTTGCCCATCCCTTGTTGATGGAAGTGGCACGAAGTCAGCCGCGGCCTTGGCGGCTTACCCGGTGCCCGTCTCGTTGCCCAATGAATCGATCGAAGCATCTCTCTCTCTCTCTCTCTCTCTCTCTCTCTCTCTCTCTCTCTCTCTCTCTCTTGTAACACACACACACTTCTCACGCATGCACGCATGCCCACGCATTCACGCATACACACACACACACACACAAACAGTCCATCGATAGGATGAGCAAAACGCGATGAATCTTTCTCTAAAACGGGGAAATATACGCTGCCGCTTTCTGATTTGCTCGCTCTATTGATCCAAAGCAGCGTGCGTCGCGCCGTGACTGGAGACTTACTGGTTCGGCGACGCGTATCTTACCCAATCTTTCTCTCTTTCCTCTCTCCTTCTCTCCTTCTTTAATCTCCATCTCTCCTTCTCCATCTCCTGTCTCTTTCCCTCTCTTCCTCACACGCACGCGCCCCCCCGTCGCCTCCTGTATTGGTGAATCGAGAACCGACCTGAGATAGCGTAGTGGCAGACTTAGGGTCCGATGATCCGAACAATCAACATTGCAACGCAGCCTCGAACATACATCATCATCATCATTCCATGGTGTAAAGKGGTCTGGCGCCTTACACAGGAAGATTGCGCCAGCCCCGACCATACCCAGACGAGGAAGAGGGAGGTTAGACGAAGAAGAGGGGAAGATGGGAATGTTGTCAACACCAAGTCTTCGGTACAGGCCCAAATAGTCACTCGTCAAGATGTGTGAATCCCATGTCGAGTCTGGATCCAATGGCGCCTAGTCTCAAGTCACAACTCTCTCTCTCTCTCTATCGTAGTTTGCTGATTCTAAGAAGTCAGGTGGCGAGAGGGTGAGGGAGAGATGGTGGATTTAGAAGAGGAAGAAGAAGAACACTCTCTCTTTCTCTCTCTTCCCCTTTCACACACACACACGATCCCACGTAGCACGCGTATATACCCATGCTTTATTGGTAGATTCATTCATTTTTATTTTTATTTTTTTCCATTTATTTTATTTATTTATTCTCCCGAGGTAAGCCGCATGGTTGTAGACTCACCTCCTTTCTTCTTGCCGCTGTTCGAATCGTGCGCCGCTGTCGTCTTCAACTCGTCGTTCGGCTAGGCAAGTATTGCCTCGACTCCTCCTCCTTTCCTCACCCGGACTCACGCCCTTTTCTTCTCCTACTTTTTCCTTCTACCCTTCCCCCTTTCTCTCCTTTCCTCTCTCGCTGTCACCTTCTCCTTAATCCGAGGAGACTCACAACCGATACGAGTTATCATGAGTGTACGTTCGAAGGCAATACAAAGCCGCTATGCCTTTCGTCCACGACTCAATTTCGAGTCATCACCATCCCGTCGATCACTCAGGTAAGTATTTTCCTTCTCTCTCCTCCTTCGCGTGGTTTCTTCTCGTCTTCCCTTACGAGCGCCACTCTTGTGCGCCTTCCTTCATCCTTCCTTTGCGTAGCTCATACCGTGCCCTCCTCTACTTTTCTCGACGAGTATCGTCGTGCCCTTCTGCTCGTGCCGCCCTTCCCACGGCGAGTCCTGACCGGGTCGTAGTCGAGGCGTCCTTCTCCTAAATGAATCTGCCCCTAGTAAAGGGCGGGGTTCATTTGAGCACGCTTCGGCAGATAGGCCGTTGAAAAAAAAGTAACAAGAGTAAAACAAGAAAAATAAGAATAATAAAATAAAAATAAAGGAACCGAACTAACAAAATCTAACGAAAATCCGCCTACAGTTCCCCCTGCTTACCAAGTGTCACAGTCCTACGACACTTAGCTCTAACCAACGTACTAACCTTACTAACTTTTGCAAGTGAGGTCGCGGGTTCAAGTCCCGACTGACCGTGACTTGACCAAAGTTGAGTTGGAGTCCCTGTCAAAAAGGGAGTCAGTCTCAGCGGTATGTAGGTTTCGATCCCTGTATTTTCTGATTAGTAGACATCCTCTAAACCTACTGAGCTAGCTCCCACTTCGAATAGAAGGGAAGCAACTCAGTATGTAAATAATAGCGGCTCGGTCCTACTAGTGGTCTGAACTCTTTCTTGAGTATACACGGGAGTGTGAAGTTGCACCGGTCCGTATGCCAATCTAAAAGCTTGTTGGTTTGTGTATGCTTGCACATGTTAGACTGCATACTTATCGGCTTGGGCGTGCGTGTGTCCCGCAAGGGGGCTTAGTTTCTCAGAAGGCCCATAGGCCCTGTACTTAGCCGTGGCCGCGCCATTTGGAGGTCGCAGAAGGGAGACATTCTAGCGGCGGGTAGGTCGGTGCTTAGCTATGGTCGTGACTTTCATCGTCCGCTACATCCTAAGTGCAACGGACGACATTCAAGTAACAGGTGGTTTGGTACCTCACCATATCGAGTTAGACACGGCGGTACTTGACTCGGAGGCCGAGTCGGGAAATATACCTGGCACCGGAAGATAGACAAGTACCTGACCAGGCCTCAGTGCGTGTCGTCGATCTCACCAGCACAATATGAACCCAACTGACCCTTCGACCTTTCGAGGGGTATCATTGCAAATCCTAATCATCGCGGCGTGTGTCATAACAACGCGTACACATACTAAACGAAATTTTCTCACCGATTTTTGCCCCGGCCTCAGCGGCCGAGGATTTTGCTTTCAGTGCTACGCCAAGCGTGCACACCACTCTCGTCCTAGACTGGCTACGTCATGGTGGCTGGTGCCGCCACCGTGCCGAATGCAAAGACAAGGTAAAATACCATTGTAAGGGTATTTTGTCTGACAGTATCCCAGACCTTATTAAGCAACGTCCCCGTCGTTCGGACACTATATGCAAATAAAGGTGTTTTCTGACAAGCAATTCGTCAAATCCGAGTCCTGGAATGAAATGCGGTTTCAGGATTGACGCCGTCACCTTACTTTTCATTATTACCGCCGGGATTTTAACCAGGGTCTCCCACATAAAATATAATAACTGAAAGTGGGGATACTTGATATGTACTACAGTACATGAAATAGTTAAGTATAACAACGCACCTTTCCTTCCCCCACACCCTTAGTCTTTGGTCCAGGTATTCATTGGTTGTTTTCAGGGCTGGTGTTCGCGTACGAATTCAACCCGTCAAACGCGGGTCCTAACCGAGACCTTGGGTGTTCAACTCTTGATATTACAATCCAAAGTTGCCTGACGTCCTGCCCGAAGCCTAATACAGGAGGACAACGGTCTTCATCCTGACTCACCACAGTCCTGTTGATCAGGCCGGAGCTGCGGCCCACCGCGTTGTTGCTTATCGATGGTTACCCTCGTTGGTTGCACAACGAGGGAATATTCATCCTATCTTTAAAATTTTTTAATCTCGACCCCTTCGACATCCACCTAAATAGACCCCTTCATTGGGGAGGCCTCCCCTCTAGTTTCTGTTCGAGGCCATAGTCGAAGGGTCCGTTGCCTGGTTATGCTAGGTCAGCAGCCCACACTGGGAGTTACATCCCAACGATGTCAATTTTTCACCATAGGCTTGGTAATTTATGCCCTCAGGTTAACCCTTAGGGTGGATGAACGATGCTTTTTAAATAAACCAAATAAATAAGATAATAAATTGAGCATTCTTCAAGCTACCACTAAGGGTTGTGCCCTCCAAGTCTTTGATCATAGCTCGGTGAGGCACGCACCTCGGGGTCATTTTATAACCATTATTTATATATATATATATAACCATTATTTTTAAAATAAACTTTTATTGACTCTTTGCTTGTCAGAATCCACAAAAAAATAAAACATCACTTTCATAGAGATTGCCAAAGAATTTCTACAACAGAATTGATAAGACTCAAAGGAGTCTACCCTGTCGTAGCATGGTCTTAAACAAGAAATGTACAATCAATCCAGCTTTTGAAGCTCCACAAACTCATCAAACTTTCACATGAATACAGTTCCGCCGATTCCTCTATCACCTCCTTAGATCTCAACAGAGTCTAGTAGTGATAGACGAAGAGAGATCTTAGATTATCAGAGACTCAACCAAAGACAAAGGCCCACACACAATATGACTAGTGCGTCGTGTTCACCAGCTCATCCCCCTGAATAATATATATAAATACAAGTATGTTACAGAGTCAGATCACCATTCTCCTCTACTATCCCTCAAATACTTCTCATGTCATTTCCTATACTACTTCATATGCTAAGTCTCCTCATCTGATTGAAGAAAAACACACAACTTGTCTCACTCTTGTTCTCATGTCCAACTGAAAAAGAAAACACATACTCTCTTGCTCTAATTTACACCTTTCTCCCTCTCATAACTGTTTTAAAGCCAATTCAAGTCATAGTTTACTCAAAACATCTACCTATTCCCACCTAGAAATCAACTGGCAGTTCCAGTATCATGTGAAGTGCTACCCTGCCTCCCTCAGGTATCCTAGGAATGGTCTGCCCTGTGCCGGCCACCAATCTCTTATGACTATCATATTTGGCTTTTCCTTCCTTGATATAAATTGCTAGAATGGAACACTCATCCCTGAGGTGCCCTTCCTGAGTGCAGAAGAAACACCTTTGTCCAACCATGCTAGGATTGATTCTCTTTATGTCTGGCTGGATTGAAGTCTCAGCCTGATCTTCAGCCTCCTTTGGTGAGTCCAACTGGGATTCCCTTTGCCTTTTACCCTGTCCTGGCAGAGGCATAGCCACATTCTCACTCACCTCCTTTTCTGGTGCAGAAGACTCATCTCTCTTCTCCTCAGTCTGTATCCCTTTCTCTTCACCCTTCTTTTTTTCCACCATCTCTGTGGCTTCCTTCTTTTTTTCTAGATGGCTCAGTCTGAGTCCCTCTATTCCTACCAATATCTCACCCCATCTTTTCTCTCACTCTTGTCTCAACTTCTTCCTTTCTAAGATTTCACTGTCTAGGTCCAGTCCTAGCACACTGACCTTAGAGCCCAAGCCATCCATCCTTATTTCCATCCTTCCTATCGTGGCCGCTTCATTCTCCAATTTTCTGTCGCTCATAGTTAGGGCGGCCCTCAATTGACTCACTTCTTTCTGTAATTCCTCCTTCCCTTTCTTCAACCCTTTCATTTCCTCCCTCATCTCTTTCATATCTCTTATCAACTTTTTCACCTGGGCATCCCTCTCATCTTCCTTCCTTCTTATCCCACTTGCCTGTTCCCTTTCTCTGTTTCCAATTGGTCCCTTTTCCTCAGTCCTCTTGACCTTGGGAGCCTATCCTTCTTCCTGGATCTTCTTCCCTTCTCCAGCTTCCTTCACTCCTCCCTCCTTTTCACTCCTCCTCTCTTGTACCTCTTCCCTTCCACTCTCAATTGCCCTTTTCTTTCCAAGTTTCTTCTTTCTCGGTACCATACTTGCCTCCATGCTTCTTTTCCTCACTTCTGCTGCCTCCTCCTCTTCCTGCTCATCCCCCTCAGCCTGTTCAAATCCCTTGATGCTGCTCTTGGGGGAGACTCTCGTCTTGTTTTTCAATCTCTTCATAGGCACATTATCTTCTTCTTCATCTTCTGCCTCCTTCCCCTGTGGCTCAGCCACCTCTTTTCCAATCCATAGCCCCTTCTCTTGCAGACTTTCTTTTCTTGTTTGATCTTGCCTGGTCTGGGTGTAGGCTATCCACAATTCTGTTGTTATTCTCTTCCAGGTTCGGCTCCCTTCCACAATTCTTTTAACTTCCTCCTTTTCACTCTCTTTTGATCTTGCGATCAGTTGTTTCTTCCTTTCTTCCTTGTTCCACTCGCCTCTCTCTGCGGTCAGCTGCAAGCTCTCGATAAAGTCCTCCAGATTGGTTTCATCAAACCTTAAGTCATCCTCCACATCGTCTCTTGGGAAGGCCCCCATGTCCTTCCATAACCTCTCCTTGCATACTTTTCACCTCGTGTACCCTGCCACCACTCCTTCAATTCTCCTCTTGTACATTCCTGCTCCACTCACATTCACAATCTTCTTCCGGTCACCCCACTCTCTCCTGAATGCGTACTCTTCAAGGTCTCGCAGAAAAACTCACAGGCTGTCCCCAGCCTTGTAAATGGGCAACTCCTCCCGGTTCCTTGAGATTTTTTGATCCCTCCTCTGCCCTCCCTCTCGCAAGGCAGGCCCAGAGGGCCCTGCCATTGCTTCTCTCTGCGCCATGGCCTCTTCTTTCCAGGGGTCACGCCTGCATATAGAGAAGAAGCAAATGACAAGGGACGAGGGTCAGATTATCATCAAGACAACATTCCTTGTTAAACCTAAGTTGACAATGCCCTCCTTTATCAGGTACTTACATACATGCACATATACACACACATATATATATATATATATATTATATATATATATATATACATATATACATACATGAGCGTATATACACATATATCCCCACTTATACCCCCTTTGCATCCATGTATGTACACATACACACACACATATATATATATATATATATTATATATATATATATATACATATATACATACATGAGCGTATATACACATATATCCCCACTTATACCCCCTTTGCATCCATGTATGTACACATACACACACACATATATATATATATGCATGTATGTATCTATATATGTATGAGCCTAATCTTGGGCAATTGGGTACATACCTGCATAGAAACTGATACACATATGCATGACTAAAATACCTTCCCAATCTATTCAAGTTTTCGCATTGTAGCTGAGCTTACCTCTTCTCTGACTCGGAACTTCTTCAGTTTAGATCCTGAGACCCAGTCCTTCCTTGGAGTCTCATCCATCTCTTCTAGCTCATATGCCCCATGAAGTCCCTGCTTCCTGACTTTGAATGGTCTTAGCCACCGTTTGTCCAATTTCCACGACCATTGCATTTCCAGAGAGGAATCGTAGAGTAGTACTGTCTCGCCAACTTGTAGAGGTTCGAGTCTTACTCTAGGTAGCTTGTCCCACCTTTCCTTATCCTTTCCCCTGCTGTCTGCAACGTTCATGGTTGCTTCATGCACCCTTTCGTCAGTGGCGCTGATCTGCCTTGCCCTTAGATCTAGCAGTTCCTCCAAAGTCAAGTTGTTCTCCAGGTCCTGCCTGCGCCAAGTTTTCAGGAAGTTTTCAATAGGAAATGTGGCGTGACGCCCATACCAGAGCGCCGCAGGTGCATACCCGGTCGTTCTCTTTACGGTGATGTTCTCCACAAAGAACACTGTTCTTAGGAACTTTGGCCAGAGGTTCGGCTTCCCAATGGTCCATTTTGCCAACAAGTTAGTAATTGTGCTATGGCCTCTCTCAACCGGTGCATTCGCTTGTGGATGTGCCCGAGTCGTATAATTACCTGTGACCCCCAATTCCTTGAGCAACTCCTTCACTTCCCCAGACGTGAACTCAGACCCCCTGTCCATTGTAAACTCCAATACGAACGGATATCTGAGATAATACTCTTTAATGCAATCTGTCATCGTTGTCCCGGTCTTGTTCCTGATCGCCCTGCCATCAATGAATCCAGTAAGGTTGTCCCTTGCGTCGAATATATAGTTATATCCTCCAAGACCTAGCGGCATAGCTAGTAGATCTAGGTGAACAACCGCCCCTACTTCCTTGATATATCTAGGATGCAGGGGTTCCTTGTACCTGATAGGCGATCGAATTTGACAGGGTACACACGACTCACAGTATTTTCGCGTCATCTCAAACATTTCCTAGTAGTAGAGCTCCATCGCCTTCTTGTAAGTAGCCGCGAAGCTCTGATGTCCTCCGACTATCCCATCATGCAATGCAGCCACTACGTCAATCTGGCGATTCCTTCCACACACGACACGTCGTGGCGGCCCACTCTTATCCCTGATGAACAAGTGACCACCTCTTACCACATAGTGGTCTCTCATCCTGAGAGTCTTCTCACTCACTTCTCCCTCTCTTTTATCTCCTGAGAGGAACAACCCCATTTCTAAATAGAATCCTTCATACTCCTCTTCCCTGAATTCTTCTGAGATCTCTTATTGTTCGAATTCTCCTTCCTTTTCTTCATCAAATTCATAATCATCACCAATAATTATTTCATCAGTCTTCACTATTTCTCTTTCATCATTCGCTTGGACTTGTAACAACGAATTTGTCAGGTAGTACATCCTTTCCATCATGGCTACCTGTTCGTCTGCCTGTTGGACTCTTGCCTCGATTGTCTGCCAGAGCCAACTCCATCATCCACTCTGTATTTCTTTCGCCCCAAGAGTCTTCTTCCTCTAATGGCGTGAGTATCAGGGAAGACTCTCTCATAAATTCGGGAGGCGGATGCCACATCGGATTTCCTCTCCTCATTTTCTTACTCTCGACAAACATGAACCAACAGTTCACGTGAGTTCGCATGTCTTCCCCTTCGTCCAAAAACCCGTCTACTGGCGGCGTTTCTTCATTGGATTCTTCCTGATTTCCCCACTCAATTCTGCTCATGCTATCCGCCCTGTTCTTGTTCCCAGGGATCCGCTCTAACTGGAAGTCGAACATCCAGATATAGGTGAGTCATCTGGCTATGGTCGGATCTGAGGGCGAGAAGTTTTTGAGCGAGTACACAAGCGCTGTTGGATCGATCCTGGGTACAAACCTCCTCCCAAAGAGGTAATGCCTAAAGATTCTTAGGCAATGCAGGACCGTCAAGGCTTCTCTTTTGAACTGCGAGTAGTTCCTTTCTGTTGAGTTAAGTGTTCGACTTTCAAACCTCAGAGGCCTCTCCTTTCCTTCACTGTCTTCCTGGATCAGGACGCCTCCCAGGGCGGTTGGTCAAGCGTCAGTTTCAACTATGAAGGGTCTTTCCATAGTCGCATCAAAGACCGGTACCCCTAGTACCAGACCTCCCTCTCTGAACTCCTTCTTCAATTCTTCCGTCACTTCCTCTTGATGGTTTTCCCATTCCCATTCCTGATCCTTACGGACTAGCTTCCTTAGGTGCTCAGTTTTACTAGCAAACCTTTCTATGAATCTTCTCCAGAACCTACAGGTACAAAGGAAGCTTCGAACTTCACCCACATTTCTGAAAGGAGTGGGTCATTCTAGGATTTTATTGGTTTTCTTCTTATCAGGGCGCCGACCATGCTCGTTGCAAATGTATCCTAGAATGGTTATCTCCTTTACGCAATGTCTCGACTTCACTCCACTGGCGGTGAGGTTGTATTCTTCTAGTAGAGATAAGACTTCTCTTAATCCCTGAACATGTTTCCATACAAACTTTCTCACCCCTGGAGCCACTTCTGACTCATCCTTCTCAATCGGGCCTTTAACTGCAAGATCATCTATGTATGGCTCGGTGATCTGAGGGCTGATTGGCTGCATAACCCTGATCATGCTCCGTTGCACCATGGCCACAACATTGGTCCATCCTTGCGGCGCAACATTCATATGGACCAATCCCCTTAGCGTGTGCATCGCCGTGATGGGACGGTCTGCCGGATAGACTGGAAACTGATCATATCCAGAATAGAGGTCGATGAGGGACACAATCGACCTTCCTGCACAGGCTTCTGACAGCTGGTCTGCGTTAGGCAAACCTCCTGCGTCCCTTACAGTTACCGCGTTCAGTTGTTGGAGGTTTTGCACCCATCTGAGAACTTCATTTAGCTTTATAAAGCAGAACCATGGAGACGCGTACGGTCCACTGGAATATCCTGCAACATCCGTACGGATTTTTTCATCTAGGTACTCTACCACCCTTCTGCGATCCTCGGGGTTGGGATACTTAGCTCCTCGGACATTCCATGGCTCATGAGGTACAGTATGAATGCGGATCATTTCTATCTTGTCCACATTCAGCCTCCCACGTTGATCATCGTTGAAGGCATATGCCCCATGTTTTTCACGTATCAGTTCTTTCACCAAGTCCTCCTCTTGCCTTGTCAGAAAACCAGGTTTCCCTATTATCAGTTCTTTCTCAGTATCATCGTCGATACGACAAGGCTCATTCTGGACGCCTTCCCTCATTCGCTGTATCAGTTCCCTTTCCTGATCATAATACACCCATTTTTCTTGACTCACTAGAGCTGGCACAGGGTGACTCTTTTTATCTACCGTCTTATACCTCCTTTTGGAGCCCTGCTTCAGCCCACCCCTAAAAAATGTTGACCGGCAGCTTGAGCATTCGGTGCATGCGGCACTATCATCTGAGAAGAAGGAGGCGGTCTGTAAACGAGATCGACCCTTCCCCCTTCCGGATCGTCTTGGATCCTTTCTGGGAGTGCCCTGACTGCGTCAGGATCAGCCATCCTATAGGCCTATACCAGTTCCACCGCGTCACTGATATTGGTCAGACTTAATACAAGCCCTTTGGCTTCTTCATCATCTGACTCATCCTCTCCTTCTTCCCATTCCAGTTCTCTCCTCCTATTCTCAGATTCCTCGAACGTGTAGGATCCGACATTGAGTCTGTTCTTCGAGCTCTGTGGGCCGGTATTCCTACAGGTGATTACCTCAAAATTCCCACAGGCAGGATCGCACAGGATGACGAACATGGTGTCGTCGTGCTTGTTCATAATGAGCGTCTCGGATCTGCACAGGAACGACCTTCCCAGTAATATTGGAAGATCCAAGCTGGGCATGACGTAGAAACACGTACGTACCTTGACTTTTCCTATTTCTATCACTACATTTGACGCAACCCCCGTGTATCCGGTCTTGCCGCTGGCTCCATTGAGAAACCCGCAGTCGTTTTCATCTACCTCCAGTCCTAGTTTTACTGTCGTTTCTCCGTTTATAATGTTCATCTCCGCCCCGGTGTCAACCATCCCAGGACACATCTTCCCCTTTATCATAATATCAATGGACCCTATTCCCACGAACTTCCAGTCCATCTTGCTTCCTACCACGCTCCAGTTAGCCTCTTTGGGAATTAGATCCCCCATTCGGACCGATGTCGGTGCGAATACCCTTACAAGGGTATCCACCCTGGTTT